GTGCAACATGAAACAGACGGGGACAGATGTGGAAGAATGGAGTGACGGATAGTGAAGAGAACAGGATAGAGCATGATGACTATATTTAACTCTCTCTTTGTAAAAAAACAAAACAAATTCAGCAAATGTAAAATACTGCGCTTGTTCATACTACATCAGCAAGCTAATGATGAAAACGATCTGTGGAATCTTACAGAGAGAGCATTTCAAAGAGTTTCAACAGCGGCTATAAAATGGACCCCTTCTTCTAGAAATTTCCAGAACTCCCCTCCCATCCTCCCTTTCCATTTCCAGCATCTCATGGCTGTTAATAACAGCTGACATGCTTGTAGAGCTGTGATTGGCCCCTGCAGCTGTGAGCTTAATGATTGAACACTGCTAATTTCATCAGGCAATCAGCTCAATTTGTGTGTGTCTGTGTGTGTGTGCGTTAGCATAAGAGCATTTCAAAATCCACTGAATGATTAGCTCTCGTATATGTGACGGCACTGGGTTTAAGAGTGTGCTATCTGTTAAATGAGAGCGTTAACCCATCAGTGAGCAAAATTAAACATTGCAACTGACTGATGCACATACGCTGATGTAGGGATGGGTCACAAAACAAAGTTTATCTACATGTTTTTCATAATAAAAAAGATACCAAAAATTATACATGGAACTATGGAACAGTCAGAATATTTAAATTCACCATATAAAAATAAGAGTGTTGCCATTTTTTTCTGCAGATGTTACTGTTTTTGTTAATGAACATAAATGAACATATGCATCCTAACTCAAGCCACTGCTCCTGTGAACTTAAGCTACTGTCAAATTTACATTTCTAAGAGACAAAACATGTAATATTATTAATATTGCAGCCTGCACTGCAAACTGTGCTGAAGATAAAAATGAGGAAACACAAACACCCACCAGAACATGCAGAAACTAAGAAATGCATTTTTCTATAAAGACATTTATTTTGTAATGGAAAAATGACTGGGAAAGTGTAAAGAATAAAAAAATGTGAGCAAAAATATCCCTTTAAACATGAAAGAAATAAAGCTTTGACATTTATCGTGATAATTATCCGTATCGACCGATATGAAAAATTGTATCGTGATAATTTTTTGGGCCACATAAATTTGGGCCACGTTTTTTAATTGACAGTCCTTCTACTTTCTGAAGATCATATATAATCCACCAGGGGGCAGAAGACATGTAGTATTTTATACAAAAGGACCATATTGATGTAGAAGCCTTAAAAAAACGCCACATAACAAATATAATACAATGGCACTATAGGGTTAACCAGCATGCTAACAGTGCATTTCTAAGACACAGTGTCAAGTTAACAGTAGTCCAACTTATAAAAACGCATCTTGAGACCCAGGCATTCTGTTTTGCAACACTATAAATGTGCCTTTGGTAATTACACCCTTAAAAAGGCTCCGTTCAAGGACAGGTGAACCTGAATATATTTATTTTACGACAGATTAGACATTTGGGCAAACCAGCCCAGCGACGACATTTTAGAAATATGTATTTCATGCTCACTGCTAGTGTGTTGGCATCTGCATGAGAGCTAATCCAAACACAAAGGCTCCGAGACAAAAATGCAATGGCTAATCTTCTCATTTTCCATCTCTGTAGCTCTTTTAAACTCTCTCTCGCTCTCTCTGTTCTCTCTCATCTAATCTCCATTTTTCTTCCTCTCTGATTGTACGAGCCCTCTCACCGTTGTCGCCATGAATGGGGCCGATATTAAAATGTGATTTGATGAGCTTGGTGTTCTTGCTCTATCTTTTTGCCCTCCACTTTCATGTGCTTTCTCTCTCTCTTTTTCTCTTGCTTTTCCCACACTCACGGTATTGTTGCAGAAGGATGTGGAGTTTCTAACTCTCTCCTCTCTATTTTTTTCTTTATCGTATCCCTTGGGCCCATATTCGGTTTGCTTTTCAAATCATATTCTATAGAGTTTGGGCAGAGGAGAAGAAGAAAGAGTTTAAAAGGGATGAAAAGGTAGAGATTATTGGAGAGGGATAGCTCAAAGCTCTCTGTCGGCTTGTTGTTCTGCTCTCTGTCACAGTACTTCCTCATGACAAGAGGAAAGTCAAGTCCTTCAGTAAGAAATGAAATCCCCTCAATCCACAGGATAGATCATGAAGAGCAGGACTGGAGGATATTCACAGCAGTGAAGGAACTACAGGCAAGCTCAATGCATGGTTTTTCTAAAACGCATATTAAAATAAAATGACAAAAGTCTAAAATTTCTCCAGACACTTAGTCTCACAATAACACTTATTATAAATCTAGCCCAGATTTTCACTCTCTGCATTTTATTTGGGCCCTTTCAACAAGTCTTTTAACGATTGTTAATCAATAGCTTAATATATAATACTATATATCAAAAAAGCAATATATTTTATTTAATATACAAGAACAATTTTCATACAATTTTCAACACTGATAATAATAAGAAATGTTTCTTTAGCAGAAAATCATCAAAATACAATGATTTCTGAAGAATCAGACTGGAGTAATGATGCTGAAAATCACAGGAATAAATTACACTTTAAAATAGATTTAAATACAAAACATGTCACTTGTTTTAAATAGTAATATTTCACAATAAATATTATTGTTTTTACTGTATTTTTGATCAAATAAATGCAGATTGTGAGAAAAAACATATTATATTTATACATATTATATTTATACAAATTATAAATATAATTTATTTATCCAATAAATAACAAATAAGCCTGCAGTGCTGTTTAAAAGATTATACGCAGACACAAGCAGCCTATAATAAATCACCCCAAGTCCCATCCAACAATATTTTAAGCCCAATATTCTCTGATTCTCTACACACTCTGAAAGATATCTAATCACAGAAGTTAAAGGCTGTATTTTATTAAAGCATCAGGGCACGTTTTTATGCAGTAATGAAAATGCCCACTCAAATAGCTAATTGTCAGTGAGTTCACTTACTTCCCTCCACGGCGGTGTCATCCAGCAGAGCAGGAAGTGGATCCGGAGCGCTCATTTTTACTCTGTTGCCGTCTCTCTCCCTGTCCCTCTCTCTCTCTTTCTCTCTGTCTCTGTCTCGGTTGTGATGCGCATTGTCGAGTTGTCGTCTCTGCTGTTTGTTCTTCTGAGCCTCTAATGCCTTCAGCTTACGAGCATGTTTATGGCCTTTATAATGAGCCTCAGCCTGATTCTAAAGACAGAGAGAGAGAGGGAGAGAGTGAGAGAGAGAGAGAGTAAAAGGACTGCAAAACCTCTCACATTTACAGAAACATGCAGTACACCACTACATTTGAATTTCCTTACGACACTAACATTTAATTAGATATGAAACAAATTATTATAAAATGTCATTAAATTTTGAGCTGAGCATACATGAGAACTTAAAAACATCATAGGATGCACATCAAAAAGTTGGCTGAGAGAAGTCCAAAGTGTGCAGAACTGTTATTAAGGCTAAAAGCAAAACCATGAATGTTTTAATGGAATGTTGCAGTATTTATTATAAATGATTTATCTGTGTATAATTTTTTTTTAAATTCATGTGCTCTCAGAATGTTTAATCAAAATAACTTCCCCTAACTTCTCATGCAAAGACATCTCTTCTGGCGAAAAGCTGGACACTCATATGAGATCACAGCAATAGCAACAGTCCATTCAATTCCTGATGGACAAAATCAAGTGCTGCCCCACATTTTTTCTTATTCAAGAAGCCAATCCACTTGGATATACACTGATGAGCTAAAACATTATTCTATGCTTTCAGTTTCCTTTAATCCCTCCCTATTCTAGTTTATGATACTCTAAGCAATGTCTGAAACTTTGTATTTTGAGCACTACTTGTGTTTGTTTGACTCTTCATGATGAATCACTTGCTGTATTCCTCATTTGTAAGTTGCTTTGGATAAAATGGTCTGCAAAATTAATAAATGTTAAATGAATAATAAAAAATTACAGGTGGGTCCAACTGGCAGCACATGCATATGCACAAAACACATAAACCTGTTTATAGATAATTGGATGTCCACACACACACACACACACACACACACACACACACACACACACACACACACACACACACACACAGTGAGAACAGACAGTGTGCATGAGGGTGATAAGAGTAAATGCCCAGCAGAGGGCCTGAATTACAATTGCAGGTGACAAATGGAATACACTTTATAATTACACTGTTGATAAAAGTAGTGTATGAGTGTGAGATATAGTGAGGCATTATGTATTTAAAGACACACACACACACACACACACACACACACACACACACACACCACTACAAGCTAAAAAGTGAGTATTTCTAGTGATTGACTTCAGCAATCATCTAGAGCTGTAATCCAGATTTCTGCTGAAATGTACTGAAATAATTCAGCATGTAATTAAAGTGAACATGAGCAGTTGACATGCTGAGCTGTGATTCCCTTATTGCATTCTGAATCATTTTACAAATTGATTTGATTTTTGAAAATGACACCAACACTGTTTAAAAAGCATAGAAATAACATTTAAAATTGCGAATGGAATGGCAGTTGGTTCAAGTTTTTAAAATTGGAAATCAAAGCTGACACCCAGTTCATCAAGCAAATCTCGGGCTAATATCAGTGCAGAAATGAGTCTGTGGGCCCAGAGGGAGTAATCAACCCGCTCAAATCCTCTTAAGTACTTAGCAGATGACCCTCATCTGGGGACGGGGGGGGACAACACTGTCTGCTTTGAACAGATGAGGAGGGGGGATGTTTATACACACCCCTATATACAGTATAGTTTGGTGCCAGGAAGATTTTTCAAAACGAATACATTTATTCAGCAAGGATACTGCTAAGGTAAATGCTACCCAAGTATTTGAAGGTTGAGCAGCGAGCTCATTGGCTACTGATACAGCAAGAACCAATCAGCTGTGCCCTATAGATAACAATGTGATTATGAACAAGTGAGTAAAAAGACCTATTAGCCTGCACCATATAGAGTTTCATGCCAGAACTTTGTATTTATTATGTTACAAAAGATTTATATTTCAAATAAATGCTGTTCTTTTGAACTTTGTTTATTGATCAAAGAATTCTGAAAAAAAGTCTCACGATATCCACAAAAATATTAAGGCGCACAACTGTTTTCAATATTGATAATAAGAAATGTTTCTTGAGCAGCAAATCAGCATATTAAAATGATCGGTTAAGTATAATAAATCAAATCTGTAGAGAATGCCAGGAGAGGAGAGAGAAAGGGGAGACAAGAAGAAACAGACAGACAGGCTAACAGAGAAACTAAAGCAGAGAAAGACAGAGAGGTACAGAGTTGTATGGTGAAGCACAAGCAGTGGGAAACTAATGAGCAATTGATAGAGTTTCAGACGTCTAACTGAGCAAACGCTGTTGGGTTTCTCTCTCAGAATATATCTGGGCTAAAAATGCCCCAAATAGCAGTGCAAACTGAACAGCAGAACAGAACCACAAATGACGTCCCTAATCTATAGTTTTTCCACAGCTCATCAGGAACATACGAATACACAATTTTTAGATGCACAGGTTCGGTTTCATGACTAAAATACTTATGTGAACCACATGTTACAATTAAAAAAAGTGTTTTGAGTCTTACTCATGCGAGACACTGGTGATTAGCCAACATTACCATTAATAATTTTATACTCTTCTATATCATTCAATATTCTGTATAATAAAAATAATACTTTTAGTTTCAGATTTAGCAAATTTACGGGAACATTTTTTGCCGGGACATTACGGGGACAAACTTCAGAAAAAACATTTTTTTCTGCTATTCAATATATATATATTATTGCTGATTGATTATTGCTGCTGCAGAGAAAGTATGAACTTGCTACTGCTAATAGATACACAGACACGCTGCTATGAGCATGAAAGAGATGCTGCTGCTGCATAAATAGACACACAAAGATCCCCCAACAAAGCAGGAATGTGTGTGTGTGCTTGTTTTTCGATCCCAGTGGGGACCTGAATGTACACTGACTCATGGGCACTCGTGTCACCGTGGGGACCTAAATTGAGGTCCCCATGAGGAAACAAGCTTATAAATCATACAGAATGAGGTTTTTTTTTAAATACAAAAATGCAGAAAGTTTTGTGTGATGGGTAGGTTTAGGGGTAGGGTTCGTGTAAGGGGAGAGAAAATACAGTTTGTACAGTATAAAAACCATTACATCTATGGCGAGTCCTCACAAAGATAGCGAACCAGACGTGTGTGTGTGTGTGTGTATGTCACAAACTACTTTATTATGGGCACTCAAGCTGGCGGATGTGACAGTGTGTGTCCTGGAAGCTATTTGGTCAATATAACATTCCAACCATACTACCTTACACAATTGTAAAATTGCTGTGGAAAAACAGTTTCTTTCAGCTTTATTACAGTTTTTGCTGAACGCTAAATATTAAATTGTAATGTTACACATTAGCTATATAAATATATAAATAAATAAAACACGGACACTCTTGCATGAGCAACACTGACATAACAGTTCCCCCAAAAATGAAAATATGGTCATCACAATTCTTGCAAACCAGCCTGAAACTGATCAAGTGTCGCTCAAAGGCTGAACAGACACTATAAGTGAGTGGGACATAATTGTTTGTGACAACACAAGCAGCATGAATCTGGCAATGGAGATAAGAATGCTTTCATTTCTCATGCACATCATCTCATCTGCGCGGATCTTCTCTCCTCTCACACATGGCTGTCCAACGCAGCACTAGACTTGCCAGAAACAAAAAGGCAGTTAAAGCTGCACTTCACTGTTGAGTCATTTACAAAAAGCCATACCCTAAACCCATATGATTTTTTGTTGGCTGTGGAACACACAAAAAGATGAGGGGCTGTTTTCTACGGTGGCCCAGTAGTGCACAACACAATGCAGGGCTCTCAAGTTTTGAAGACAGGTAAGAGTGACACCCAGCCGACGGGGGGGTGGGGGTGGGGGTGGCGGGGAACGAAGGACGGACGCACACCCAGCCGACGGGACGGGGGTGGGGGTGGGGTTGGATACATTTTTGTCATTGGTTGTTGCGTTAAATCTTACCCAGATACAATAGTGCTATTTTCTGATTGGCTATTGTGTAGCTCGACGAACAACACCAGAGGAAACGCGCTTGATTCATGCCGGTTCCACAGTGAGAGCGGCGCGGCCAGAGTTTTGGGCGCTGCGGCATATTAAATATATTACAAAAAGTTTTTCAGCGTGAGAAATACAATGTGTGGCGGGAGAGACCGAAAAGACCGAAAGACCGAAATGAGTGACTGTCATGCTCAATGCGTGACACTTGAGAGCCCTGACAATGAAATTTAAAAAGCAAACATAAGTTCACAACACAACGAAAATAAGCCACAACACAACGAAATGAATCTATGGCGCTGTGGTAGCGCGTCAAAGCATTCTAGAGTATAAATGTGCAGCTATAATGCACGTAGGTGATTTTGAATTAATAAATGTCGATATACAATGGTTAGCTACATACTGTTAAAACTAATCGTGGTGTTGATATATTTTTTTGGCTGCTGACTCTATAGAACAGTGGCATGGAAAACTAACTTTATCGCCCTCCGAGAGCCCTCTAGTGGTCGGGAGCATTTCTGTTGTGTTGCGGCTTTATTTCGTTGCGTTGTACATTTTCCGTTGTGTTGTGGCTTAATTTCATTTTGTTGTGCACTACTGGGCCACCGTAGTTTTCTCATCAAAAAAAGGTACAAACAATAATCATGAAAGTAGTTCTTATGACACACATTATATGTCAAGTCTTCTTAACAATAGCTTTGTTTGAGAAACATGCTGAAATTTTAGTCATTGTGCAATATTAATCTGAACCTCTGAAATTTAAAAAAGGTTCTCGTGTGCTGCAACCAAATGTGAATGAGATTTGAGAGCTGTGGCAGAGGGGAAGATTTTCAGTGACTGACTGACTTTTTAGTCAGTTCTTCACACAAAGCTTTTATATTGGTGCGTTCAAGTCCTCCTGGGGAAGTTCGTACGTACGAGGTGGGAAGTCGTGTTTACGACGACAGTGCGTTCAAGTCACTTTCGTCGGAGGACGATGGCGGAGTACTTTCTCTTAATTAATTACACAAAAACACAGTAAGGTTCTTAAACTCTTGTTCTAGAAAATGAAGAACAAAGAAATGTGCATCGGATGTACTTTGTTTTTTTTATGTTTTTAATTAATTTATGAAGCCACTGCCAACTTTATCGTTACATGTTGCACTGTTATATTATAATGCCATCATATTCTGTGCAGGCAATTCGCTTAACTGCGCTGTAAATAAGAAAACCTTGACGATATCACTGCATAATATTTAAGTATTGTGGTATTCCGCCATGTTTCTCAGTGACACGCCCACAACTCGGAAAGATCGGGGCTTAGAGAAAATCCCGAACTCCCCACTGGTATTTACGACATTGTGGTGGCGTTCAAGTGCGTTCAACTCGTAAATACGATCTATACGAGATGACTTGAACGATGACTCAAAATATAGTGAGTCATGAGTCATGATATGACACACCTTTATGGTGCTATTTGGTGCTTGACAGCTGTGATCACCATGACATTTTGTTCTATGAAAAAACATTTTGGAAAAATAACATAATACAACTTTGGAACAACATGACCGAAAATAATGACAGAATTTTCATTTTTGATGAAAATATGATTTCAATCAAATATTTGAATGAAAATTCCTGTCCTTGATTTTATGTAGTACCAATTTTATATAAGCAATAAGACTCAAGGTTGTGGTATACTGTATTCAATAGACAGTAACACCTTCTATTGCTTAATATGATTTGGTTACAGTTAGTCTGCAGTAATTATAATAATAAAACAATAGAAGTCAATGGAAGTACCATTTAACTGTGTGTGTGTGTGTGTGTGAGAGTGAGAGAGAGAGAGAGAGAGAGAGAGAGAGAGATGTTAAAGAGACTGTGATAGTTTCACATTATCAAAGACAAAACGAGAAGACCAAAGAGAGATAAAAAAAATGCCAGAAAGAAAGAAAGAAAGAGAGAAAGAACAAAAGAAAGGATAAATGCTGTAAGGGATGAAACGGCTTTTACCCATCCAGCGTGATGTTCATTGTCTGTCATCACAACTGCGGAGGGTAAAACACACACACACACTACACACTAACCGTGGAGTTGAAGCGCAGGTGGCAGATATTGCATGAGATGACCTGTTTTTTCTTCAGAGCCTGAGGAACACCAAACGTATGGTTTATCACGGCCTTCTGCACTGGGTCCATCTGAGGGAAGGGTGAGAAAATTATGTTAAAATGGACTGCGAAAAAAAATTATTTGTACAAATCAGTTACTTCCAATCAACAGACTCTTTCCGGTCATTCAAACACATTCCTTCCATCCCAGCGGCCCTCGGAGCAACCCTGAACCTGACGCCCGGGGCCGAGGGACTTTCCCCTAACACTCCTCGTCCTCGCCATGGGAATATACACCACATCACAGTGACTCTGCAGCTGGTCACACGTCTATTTGTTTTAGAGCCTCAAGAATGTTCTCGTTGTTCATCCGCAGTCATCCCTGACCGGCTGGGACGCTGCCAGGTCAATGTGTGTGTGTGTGTGTGTGTCAGTGAGTGTATGTGTCTGATGAAGCCTATTGTCAACTCTGAGTACTGGAGAGGGTCAGAAGATAAGCATGATACTACTGCAGGAATGAAGGAGATGAGATGAGAAAAGAGATGAGGGAAGAGTGGATGATGAGCAGAGCGGAAGACAAAATCAGCAGTAAAGAATTAAAATGAGATGAGATGAGCAGATGAAACAAGACAAAAGATGCAATAAGAGATGAGAAATAAGATGAGAAGAGCAAAGCGAAGTCACGTGACGTGCTCATGAAGCTAGTCGCACTTGAGTAGAGCTCCATACATGTGGCCCCTTTTTTGACGACAATAGTGATATGCTTGACAGAATGGCTAACACTGTAGCACCCTTTGAGGACATTCTTAAAACTAAGTTGACAGCGAGCGATGCGGAGTGAATTTGCCTCTCACATGTCAGCTGTCCAGTCGCTATGCTCGAAACTCGATCTTCTTACAGGTGAGAAGTGCGTTTGCACCAATTCGGAGGGAAATGAGGAAAAGCTGGCATCCAGAAATTCCTTCTTTATCCTGCAATGCTGAAGGTCATTCTCAGTCAAGGCGAACCAAAAATGCTGTTCTCCCCAGAGGAAGCAAGACACTTTGTCAGTTGCCATTTAGCCTCTAACCCCCAGTGAACTTCAGCTGGACATTTGCTGTCTTGGAAAATTGGTCTCGTGCCCCTACTTCTTTTCATGCTTGTATATCGGTGATTAAAATGAATGTTTTCCCACATATTCATTTCTTTTCATCTATGATTTCTCTTTCTCCACATGCTGGCTACTGGAACAAACTTGATGCATGTGTTTCTCGTTATATATGGTATTGCAGCATTGCAGATTACATATATGTCTGTCTTTCCCTAATTTTAGACTGTGTGCTCAAGTCTTTACCCTCCGCCCTTTTTCAGTCTGGTTTGATCTTGATGCTTCTGTGTCATGGAGAGCAATTGAGGAATCTATAGTTTATCCCTATGAACTGAAACATCTTGTTTTTTCGGGGGTTCCACTGAGGCAGTGTAAATCTCAGCTTGGTCCTATTATAACTCATCTCTTCTTCACTTGAAGGGAAGCCGAAAAGCATACACAACAAGTTACAATCTGGCATAGGCATTCGCCAATTTCCTATAATAATAATATTTTGTCAGGCAATCCCATTTCACTGTCCGCAATGGTCTAACAACAAAGTAAACACTTCTAGTTGTACAGATATCTATGATGATATGGGTCTAAAATCATTTCAGAACATTAAAGCAGAATATAGTTACATATTTTTTCATGTATTTGCGCATTAGGTTGGCCCTTTGGGCATATGTGGTGCCTTTGGATTCCCATTTACCTATTCACCCTTTGTGCAAACTAATCCTTCCCTCTGAGAACTCTCCCTCTTCTGTTTTGGTTATGTATCTGTATCTTCTTGAGCATTCATACAAACCCTTATCTATTAAAACTGTTTGGGCCAAGAATCTTAATGAGGATGTGCATGTTTTATTTTCAGATCAGGTATGGAGGATGTTTAAGCTGTCTTCAAAGAACCCCAATCATCAGATACACTGGAAATTACTACATAGGGTTTACTTGACTCCTATGAAACATTTCTATATGAATCTATCCTCCTCTCCTAAGTGTAATCTTTATTCCCAAGGATATCTAGGCACATACTTGCACTTCTTTTGGGATTGTCCCTCTCTCTCACCTTTTTGGACCCAGCTCTCACAGGACTTATCATACCTGTTGGACATTATGTTTGACCCCACGCCACTTTTTAAAAAATTATTTTTGGGAACTTACCTTATCCATTCCATTTACTGTTAGCCGCTCTCACAGCGGCAAAAAAAATGCTAGTCAACCGCTGGAATCCTGCTCACACAATGGACAGACGAACATGGACAGTGTCTTTGTTGGACATTATATCCATAGAACTCGCAACTTCTCGTATTCATGGATCCAAAGTTAAGAATGTGAATTTATGGCATGCTGCTTTTGATATTGTGTCAACCTTTTTAACATCTTTGTAAACTTTTTTTTGTTTTAATTATGTCTACATTCTGTGTTTTTATTTTATTTCTATATTCTAGAAGTCTACCAGGGGTGGGATGGTTTGGGGTAGGTTCTAGATTTGTATAGTGGCTTTTTGCTTTGTATTTTTGTATTTCTTGGCCTTTTTTTGCTTTGTATTTTTGTATTTCTTGGCCTATATATATATATATATAAATATATATATATATATATATATATAAGAAAACTCAATAAACAGTTGTTAAAAAAAAGAGAAGAGCAGAGCAAAGATGAGAAGAAACAAAAAAGAGAAGAGACAAGAAGACCCTAGAAGATAAGAGAGGATATGACGAGATAAAAAAGACAAGACAAGATGAGACGAGAAGTGGAGCAGTAATATTAAGGTAAGAGTAGCAAGAGACGAAAAAGGTGAGATGAGATAAGACGAGACGAGAAGCAAAGCAGCAAAAAGAGAAGAGAAGAGAGGAGAAGAGAAGTGAAGAAAAGAGGGAATAATTAGAAGATGAAACAAGACACAACACATCATGAGATGAAAAGTAAAGAGACAATAAGGAGACAATATGAGATGAGAAGACAAATCAGTTGAAAAGAGAATAGAAGAGAAAAAACCGAGCAGAGGAGAGCAGAAGAGCAAAGACAAGACAGAGAAGAGATGAGAATACTAAAGGAGCAGTAAAGAGAAGAGGAGAGGAGCGGGAAGGAAAGCAGTGGAGCTTAAGAGAGGAGAGAGGTCACTGACAGCTACTTTGCTGTAGAGAGACAGGTGCATTTATCACTCTAGTACACACACACACACACACACACACACACACACACACACACACACACACAGAGTGGGAACCAGCACCGGACTATACATTAACAAACGCATATATGCTATAAAGACGTGCCCTTGGTGTCTAAGATATATAATTTTGAGTCGACCTACAGTGTACTCAAATACATAACACATGGAGAGTGTGTAAATGTATGAGTGTGTGTCCAGAATGCAATTATCAGAAGAAAGAGAACCCTGTTACACACACACACACTGCCTCCAAAACTGTCCACAGAGAGTCTGAAACTAAATCTAGATCCTAATCTGAGTTGCTGCTCGAGTCTTAAATCTAAAATTACTATCTAATACAATACTCCTCTGTTTAGCGGGCCTTTTTACAAAGATTCTGCACTTTTAAAAATACCCTCCAGCCTGCTGAATCGTTCCTGACATTTAGAGCTGACATTTGGGACCCAACGCGACGCCTTTAAAATGTTCTGAGTTAACTTTAAATGATGACACATCTGGGAAGGTGAGGTTTAGAAAATAAAACCGAGAGTGTTGATTAACTCACGGTGTTGAAGTTGGGGAACAGGCTGAGGGGAGAGGAGCCACTGAGCCGGAAGGGCAGGAAGTGTTTCAGGTCCAGAGGGGTCTGTAGCGGGCGACCCTGCATCTGTAATGAGGCCAGCAGGGGGCTCCCCTGAGCAGTCGTACCTGAGAAGAGCAAAAACAACAACTAACACATTTTAGAAAAAATCACCAATGTTCAGGCCAGTGACAGGAGAGTATTTAAATCAAGCAATTAATGCACAAACACCATGATCCATGAAGAGAGTGGAGATACTTAGGCTCACAGTTCAGTAAACCAGAATCAAATGAGTTTCAACTTATCATTATAATGACACAAAAACACAGTGACTGGTCTGATCAGATCAGGATTATTGGTTGATCTATTCAGTATTAACAGTTAACATTGCAAGAAAAAAAAAATCAGCCAGAGAGGATTTCTATGAAATCTGAATCTTTACGTAAGGAGTAAATTCACATAAATTGGGCCACTTTTTGATATTGACTACAGTTTTTGTCCTTTTGAACAATACATTTCCATGACTTTTCAAGTTGTTTGTGATTACTTGATAAGGTTTTTTAAAAGCTCAAAGAGTTACATTCATTAACAACTAGAGATGCACCAATGTATCGGCCAATAATCGGTCAGCCAATAAAAGCTATTATCGATTGTTTAAAAATAGACGATGATCAGGGCCAATTATATCCTGTCAATCAAAAGGGTGCTGAAAAACGTGACCGACTGCAACTCACACGGTGTGTGAAGAAAATCTCTCGTGATGAATTTAGGGCAAGTTAAAACAGCTTAAAACAGCTACATAAAAGCAGCCTCTCTTTGACCCTATGAATCACCCGTAGTTCAAGCCAGGGTTTCCAGGTCTGCAGTTTTTCCTTATACTAAACATTATTTGTAGCGCCTCTCATCCAATAATCGCAAATAGCTCTGTGCTTTGTTACTTCTAAAAAGAAACAAAGTGTGATCTTTCAAATTCTGTCCCTTTTTATCACGAAATTCAAACAATAAATGCTGTTTTGACGCTCTTAAATAGGACGTGACAGATCACTGTAGCGCCTCAGTTCAAGAGGTAGCGCGAGTCTTTTCTTCCACTTTAATACAAATTATGTCTAGAAAAACATGCACAAATATCGGAAGGTATATTGAAAGACAGTACCCAGCGCATGGTCTAAAAGGATTATCCCTATTCTCTTGAGTAATGGGTGTGTGTTTGGACGTAACGTGCAATAAACCAACCAGAGTCTCATCAACCATTCGCTTTAAAAGCCAGTTGTGCTCACGCCATGGCGGATTCACTATTTACATGAAGAAATTTGCAAGCAGAAAGACCGAACGCTTCTCCAGAGAGGGAACGGATCTGCTTGTGCGCGAGGTCACGCAAGAGCGCAAGCAAACCATCTACGGGACAAGCCGGGTTCCACCATATCTTTATGTACACAATAATAATCTTTTACATTGTAATCCTTTTATTTGTAATATTTGGCATGTTTATGTGCTGCTGTGCGTCACTGTGTGTGTGTAATAAGCAGAGTGTTTGCGCATTGTGCACCCGCCTATAGGCGCACATTACTAATGCGCCCTTTAAATAAAAAAAAAATAAAAAAAAATACTGCACCATTGACCAGGTTTTTAGTTGGTCAATGGCACAGTCTATTTCAGTTGCCTCAAAATAGAAACGTGCAAACAATGCTCCTGAACACACCTCATTTTCAGACCAGCGTCATGGGCGCAAATGCATTTGTTATTTAAAGGTGGGGTTGGTATGTGATTTTTTTTAACCATTTTTTCAAAATCACTTGAAATCCTATTCCTAACCCACTTACTGAGTAAGAAGCACTGAAATGAAAATTAAGCAATTTAATCATCTGTGGAACGGGCACGACTCGAAAAACTCCAGCCAATCATTTCCAAGACCACCTAGAATCATTGGACAGTCAGTACGTCAATCAAACGGTTGTACCACACCCCCCCTCCCCTCCCCTCCCCTCCCGCGCGTGACCCCTTCGTGCGCATACTCAAAGCTCGTGACCCAGTCACAGTAAGTGCAAGTCGCCCCGGTACAGAACGAGAGAGAGAGAGTAAGTGCATGATTGCGCGTCCATGTTCTTCGAATGGGTGGAGTCAGGGCCAGCGTTGGAGGAAAGAAGGTAGGACATCTACCTTCATACAAATCTCCAAAATCTTCCGGCCGTTTTGCAAATCCCATACCCTACCTTTAAACAACGTGGCGCAGGATGTGAAAATGATAACTGCGTCGGGCTGAAACTAGTAAAAAACACTTGTGCTTGGGGCCGCATTGTTCCAGATGTATGATAGGGCCCTATGAGTTTAATTCAACATTAAACATAGCTTAGCAGTCAATGAGGAACTGTAAATATATATATATATATATATATATACACACACACACACACACACACACACACACACACACACACACACACACACACACACACACACACACACACACACACACACACACACACACACACACACACACACACATTTCAGCAAACATTTTAGTATATCTTCTCAAGGGACAATACTATAAAAATAAAACTTGGATATACACTCACCGGCCACTTTATTAGGTACCCCATGCTAGTAACGGGTTGGACCCCCTTTGGCCTTCAGAACTGCCTCAATTCTTCGTGGCATAGATTCAACAAGGTGCTGGAAGCATTCCTCAGGGAGTTTGGTCCATATTGACATGATGGCATCACACAGTTGCCGCAGATTTGTCGGCTGCACATCCATGATGCGAATCTCCCGTTCCACCACATCCCAAAGATGCTCTTTTGGGTTGAGATCTGGTGACTGTGGAGGCCATTTTAGTACAGTGAACTCATTGTCATGTTCAAGAAACCAATTTGAAATGATTAGAGCTTTGTGACATGGTGGAAGTAGCCATCAGAGGATGGGTACATGGTGGCCATAAAGGGATGGACATGGTCAGAAACAATGCTCAGGTAGGCCGTGGCATTTAAACGATGCCCAATTGGCACTAAGGGGCCTAAAGTGTGGCAGGAAAACATCCCCCACACCATTACACCACCACCACCAGCCTGCACAGTGGTAACAAGGCATGATGGTTCCATGTTCTCATTCTGTTTACGCCAAATTCTGACTCTAACATCTGAATGTCGAAATCGAGACTCATCAGACCAGGCAACATTTTTCCAGTCTTCAACTGTTCAATTTTGGTGAGCTCTTGCAAATTGTAGCCTCTTTTTCCTATTTGTAGTGGAGATGAGTGGTACCCGGTGGAGTCTTCTGCTGTTGTAGCCCATCCGCCTCAAGGTTGTGCGTGTTGTGGCTTCACAAATGCTTTGCTGCATACCTCGGTTGTAACGAGTGGTTATTTCAGTCACTGTTGCCCTTCTATCAGCTCGAACCAGTCTGGCCATTCTCCTCTGACCTCTGGCATCAACAAGGCATTTCCGCCCACAGAACTGCCGCTCACTGGATGTTTTTTCTTTTTCGGACCATTCTCTGTAAACCCTAGAGATGGTTGTGCGTGAAAATCCCAGTAGATTAGCAGTTTCTGAAATACTCAGACCAGCCCTTCTGGCACCAACAATCATGCCACGTTCAAAGTCACTCAAATCAACTTTCTTCCCCATACTGATGCTCGGTTTGAACTGCAGGAGATTGTCTTGACCATGTCTACATGCCTAAATGCACTGAGTTGCCGCCATGTGATTGGCTGCTTAGAAATTAAGTGTTAACGAGCAGTTGGACAGGTGTACCTAATAAAGTGGCCGGTGAGTGTATTTTAGAGTAGTCAATGTGCTGCTTGAATGGCAGTATATATTTACTGTCCTCTGAAAATAACTCAACATACAGCCATTATTGTCAAAATAGCTGGCAACAAAAGTGAGTACAAACTAAGTGATAATAGCTGTACGTCGTTTAACCATGCAAAGCCACATGTCCTATTCATCATTTCCAAGTTTTTGTCTGCTTGACAGGACCATACAAATTTGTGTATATTTTATTAAAGCAGTTAAAATTTGTGCTTTGAGTACACTTCTCTCATACTGACCACTGGATGTTCAACATGGCACCTCATGGCAAATAACTCTCTAAGGATTTGAGAATTAGAATTGTTGCTCTCCACAAAGATGGCCTAGGCTATAAGAAGATTGGCAACACCCTGAAACTGAGTTACAGTACAGTGGCCATGGTCTTACAGAGGTTTTCCAAGACGGGTTCCACTTGGAACAGGCCTCGCAAGGGTCAATCAAAGAAGTTGAGTCCTCGTGCTGTGCATCAGGTGCAGAAGCTGGCTTTGACGCATGAGTGCTGCCAGCATTGCTTTAGAGGTTGCAGAAGCGGAAGGTCAGCTTGTCAGTGCTCAGACCATACGCCGCACACTGCAACAAGTCGGTTTGCATGGCCGTTTTGTGTCTTGCCTACAGTCAAGCATGGTGGTGGTAGCATCATGGTCTGGAGCTGCATGAGTGCTGCTGGTACTGGGGAGCTGCACTTCATTGAGGAAACATGGATTACAACATGTACTGTGACATTCTGAAGCAGAACATGATGCCCTCCATTCAGAAACTGTGCTGAACGGCATGATAATGACCCCAAACACACTGCCAAGATGACAACTGCCTTGCTGAGGAAGCTGAAGGTGATGGAGTGGCCAAGTATGTCTCCAGACCTGAACCCTATTGAGCACCTGTGGGGCGTCCTCAAGCGGAAGGTGGAGAAGCGCGATGTGTCTAACATCCAGCAGCTCCATGATGTCATTATGGAGGAGTGGAAGAGGGTCCCAGCAACCACCTGTGCAGCTCTGGTGAACTCCATGCCTAGGAGAATTAAGGCAGTGCTAAATAACAATGGTGCTCACACAAAATATTTACACTTTGGACACAGTTTTGACATGTTCACTTAGGGTGTACTCACTTTTGTTGCCAGCTATTTTGACAATAATGGCTGTGTGTTGAGTTATTTTCAGAGGACAGAAAATATATACTGCAATACAGGCAGCACATTGACTACTCTAAAATATATCCAAGTTTCATTTCTATAGTATTGTCCCTTGAGAAGATATACTAAAATGTTTGCTGAAATGTAAGGGGTGTACTCACTTTTGAGAGATACAGTATATATATACAGTATACAC